TTTCCGACGTGAAGTACAGGGAAAGTATGTAGTGTATGAGCACCACTGCCAGGCCTCTATGTGTTGCAGAAAGTCCTACACCGTCCCCCAGTCCTGATCAGGAGGGGCGTCACGCGTCACTTCAGCAGTCGCGCTCTCTGAGTCTTCTCATTCTCTTTTCTCAGGCGCTATCTCAGCCGTTTTGGCTCAGAAGCCGGCCACTATTCCTGCGCTATGTCACGTTCTTGGATGAAAGAAAAGGGGGAGAGTTTCGTACTGCAATCCCTCCCCTTTCTGCATCATGGCCAATCTCGGCCCACAGTCACTCTTGTCTTCCCTCCTTCCGCTGCAAGCCATTGCCTTCTTAGGGAAGCGCTGGGCTTTACTTCTGGGGCTCGGAGCTGTAACCTGGGCTCTAAAGTACTTCTTGACCAGACCCAGGAGTAACTCTCAGCGACTTCCCCTTCCACCAGGTCCGAGAGGCCTCCCTTTCATCGGAAGCCTTCTCGAACTTTCGTCCGGGAAGATTTGGGAGACATACGCAAAGCTTGCCATTCAATATGGTGAGTTGGCTCCGAGCCCTGCCTACGTATGGCACAATGTGGACACTGACGATGTTTCACTCAAGGCGATGTCACATACGCGAAGATCATGGGCCAGGGCTTCTTAGTACTCAGTTCAGCGCAATCTGTCCACGATCTCCTGGAGGAGAAGGGCCCAAACTTCTCTGACCGCAACCGCACTCCTGCTTTAGAATGTAAGCACCCGAGCCCGACGCCCATCTGTGTGACAAACAGTCTACTAGGCTCGGTTTCGATTGGAACTGGGGCTTTGATAACTACGGCCCCTGAATGGAAGGCCAACCGTCGCGTATTTCACCAATGCTTCGGTCAAAACGAGGTTCCAAAGTATTACCCAATTATTGAGCAACAGGCCCGTACCTATCTCAGCCGCCTTTTCAAGCACCCAAGAGACTTCCATGAGCTCACCAAATAGTAAGTTTATTCTTGGCAATTGGCTATCTGGAGCACTTAGACATTACTTACCAACAGCTTCTTTGGCTCCACCATTATCCAGATTGCGTACGGGACCAGCGACGAGGCTCTGATCAAGAAGTTGGTGCAAAATGCAGACGCCGTCGTGCAAGCCCTAGGCGAGATTCTGGTCCCAGGTCGCTATATGGTGGATGTGTTTCCTTTGCTTCGCCATGTTCCCGCCTGGTTTCCAGGGGCTGGATGGAAGCGAGCGATCACAAAGTTTGCGACTCTCACAGAAAGGGTTCGCCATTCAAACTTCGACGACTCTGAAGAGATCTTGGTGTGTGTTCTAGTCTTTGATACCCTCAGAGCCGGGCTCTTATCTCATTCATAGAGGAGCGGAACGCAAGCCAACCATCCCAGTGCCATAGCTTCGCTTCTCGCGAGCTTGCCTCCAGAAGACGACGTCTTGTTCAGCGCTCGGAAAGACGTGGCCAAAAACAACTGCCTTATTGCTTATATAGGTAATCAATGTTCCCTCGAACTCAAAAGCCAACTGACCATGGTCTGTGTTTCTAGCTGGCGTAGATTCTGTGCGCGATGCCCTGCGTGGGTTCGTTAGTTGAGGTTGAACGCTCTGACTTTGCCAAATATAGCAAACTAGTGCTGGAACGGCTTTGATTCTGGCACTTGCCATGTACCCAAGGGTTCAGGAGAAATGCCAGGAAGAGCTTGATAGGGTTGTAGGGCTGCTCCAACTGCCCAAGCCATCAGACATGGCCAGCTTGCCCTACTTTCAAGCTCTGGTCAAGGAGCTAAACCGATGGCACACAGTTGCTCCCCTTGGTCGGTCATTTCTAAAACTCAACGCTCTACTCTGAAGCAGGTCTATCCTAGGCCTCCCTCACATTGTCAAAGAGGACGACGTCTACAAAAGTTATTTCATCCCGAAAGGCACGGCAGTATTTGGGAATGCATGGTATGTATACTACCTACAGTTTAGTTTCCTCAGAGCTGTTAAGTTTCAACGCAAAGGGCGTTGATGCATGACCCCGAGATCTTCGAAAACCCTATGGAATTCAGACCCGAGCGTTTCTTAAACTTGAAGTCGTCCAGCGCGCCTGCTCTCGACTTCGATGACGATGCTGCATTTGGATTTGGCCGAAGGTACAATCCCCTCCCTTGGGCCTTGCTTCTCTGCTCATACTATCGCAACAGAATTTGTCCAGGACGTCAACTAAGCAACGCAACTGTGACCTTCATGGCTGCTTCGCTGATGTCAGTGTACAACGTAGGCCCAAGTAAGGATAAGGCTGGAAATGAGATACCTCTGAAGTTACGACGTCGAGCCAACCTTAATCACGTAGGAAATTCCTCCTATGCCATCATAGTCAAGTTCTTACTGATGTGTAATATGTATAGGAAGGTCCTCCCTTTTGACTGCGACATCAGGCCTCGTTCGGCTCAGCATGCTAAACTCATACCAGAATTTTAAGGGCCTCTTCCTGGCCTGAACCATTTCCCTTATTAAACCTTTCCCCTTGGCCCAGCAGGACGTTTTACTGTGCACGCGACTCTCTCGTGTAAGTAGTCGGAGGAAAATCGGAACAGAGGTTCTTGTAGGCATTGCCACCCCCAAGTCGATGAATTCATGGATTCCGTTGAGCATTTATCTATCTTGCTATTGTACATGTTCCACTTCGTTTACATCTCTCGTAACGGTCGTTAAAGTCATGAATAAACCCATGAGGGATCATGCAATCACACATCCTGTGCAGCAGCCTGGGGCTTTCGTCTGTGTGTCTCTCTAGGGCATAGGGATTGGTCGGATTGCCCCCAGCAGTCGGGCGGCCGCTCTGCTGCTCCTGGATTTACGTTAACGGAGATTGTCACTTAGAAGGGGATATATTTACCTTGTTGTACTTGCGTATCTCGCGAACAAGGTTGCAAAAAGCTTCATCGACGTTTATTCGAAGTTGGCAGAGGTTTCAATGAATGGGCATTTGAATCGCCTGGCAAGTTCACGACCCTCTTTGGAGAGGAGGAGAAGTCAGATACAGCACATTATCCACCAGCCGCAAAGACAAACATACCACTGGTGCTGACTTGACGCTCAAACTCCAGATCACACTTGTTCGCGACAAGGATGATAGGGAAGTAGTCTTGATCCTTGACCCGCAGAATGGTCTCCTGGAAGAGCATAACTTCTTCAAAGGAGTTCCTGGAAGTAACAGAGTACACGAGCAAGAAGCCCTCTCCAGGACGCATGTACGTTCTCGCATGGCACTATATTCGAATGAATATCATGAGCAAGGGTATTCCGCGGAAAGTGGAGAGGCGGCAGGTCGGGTCGGCAGGATAGGGGCTGTCTGCACTATAGCAAACTCACCTATACTCGTCTTGTCCAGCAGTATCAAGAACGTCCAGAAGGACGACCTCGTCGTCGATAATGGACTGCTTCTGGTAAGAATCTGGTACATCAATCAGTCACTGAACGAGCAACCATGGAGCTCTCACTGGCTGACCTTCGATGGTCGGGTCATACTCGTCAATGAACTTGGATTTCATGAACTGTATGGTGAGGGCAGATTTGCCGACCGCTGGTGAAACAGGAGGCGTTAGTTGGCTAGCTACAGCTGCATGAATTGCGTCGACGCACCTCCTCCTCCCACCACCACGAGCTTGTATTCTCTGAGTAACTGTCAAAAGGCTATCGTCAGGCACAAGCTCTGGTCTCCCACACGGCCGGCGTACCCTTGCTGCCATGTCTGTTCCGGAGAGGTTGCTGAAAGTCTAGAGGTTTTGAAGTGGTCGTTTGGGGAAAGGGAAAGAGGCTTAACCACGGGTCCGGCTTGACAGGATGCAGGGTTATATAACGGAGTAGAAAGCTGTCGTGAATGCTATGCGCGATCACAGGCACCAGATATGGAACTCATAAGTGATAACCTTGACCAGCATCAAACGATGTCCCAACTCTGACAACACTTGGGCTGTGTTGGTGTTCTCCCGTTTTTGATGCTAGCAAGGGGCACACCTGGAAGTCGCTCGTTCTCGCAAAGAAGTATTTGTGGATAGGGAGTCGCAACCCATCGAGAGTCCTCGTAAATCCGACAACCCAATGAACAAGCGCTTGAACCTTGCAGAAGGATGGTAATTCGTTGCAATTTGAGTGACTAGCAGGGGCGGCTGTATACCTCCCGCACCCAAGACGTCTTCGAAGACCTGATTCGCTCAAGGCTCGGTGATCATCTCCTTCTCCCGTACAGGATACACTTGCAAGCGTTCAATCTACATCTACACCAATGGCATCAGACGAACAATCTCAATTGACCTTGCTAGATTTGTATGTCTTGCGGTATTCCGCAGGAGTCAATGGATCAGAATCACGAGTAGGGGAAGGCATATCCCAGCATACCGTCTCTGCGCACAGGTGTTAGCATGCAGAAGGCGCCATCTTGACAGCAGCGCCGAATCCTGGGTGCTCGCTAATACCACAGTCAGCCGGAAAAAAAAAAAAAAAAAAAAAAAAAAAAAAAAAAAAAAAAAAAGGGGAGGCCGGACAGGCTGTTATGGTTTGCAAGCACCTCGTTTGGTGTGGTAAAAGCCCATGTTACCACCGTTGTAACCGACATACAAGACTATGATCAAGAGCGTTCGGTGCCACCAAACATGGCTGGCTAAGACAGGGATATCCAATCACCCGCATCCGTTGCCCCTATCAGCCTCTACACCCCTTCCAGCCCCTTCTTTCCATTCCAAGGTCTTCTTCTCTTCTTCTCCTGCAGCGCGCTCTTTCCGTGTGACACTAGCTCCGACCGGCCTAAGCACCACTGGCACCTGGCACAATAAACGAAACAATATGCGGTTTCAATTGTCCAGAGGCTTGGTGCGAACCGTTCTGACTTGGCCAATCGCAGTTCAAGAAGGTATAGGACAGGGAATTGGGCTAGGAGGTGTCGAGGGTGGACCTAGCGTCGTATCAGAAAGATTCCTGAAGATATTTATCTCTGTTCAACTAGGGAATGAATAAAAAAAAGATTTCAGCGACGCCAGCAGGATTTGAACCTGCGCCCTCAAAGAGGAACAGATAATCGTCTGAAGCCAGATTCGAATCTGTCGCCGTAACCACTTGGCTATAGCGCCTCTTCTGTCTGGGGAAGCTGTGCCAACATGGACGGAAGATTATTGAATCCCCACCATACGCAAATCAGGGTGAGGATAGAGAGACGGTCACCGGTCTGCGTGATACGTACACAACAGCAAAGGTTTCGTTCAAGAAAGGGCTTGAAACCAGCGCTTTGGAAGACAGGCGAGCTCAAGTATGCCCAAGAGTTTGCGTTCGCTGAAACCCGAGATAAATTGGTTGCCTTTCAGCCCCGACATAATGGCTGGGAGCGTAGATGCAAAGCTAATCGTCATGGTCTAGTTGTCATAAAGTTCACAACTACAAAAAATGTGGAAAACATGATGATATACAAGCCATGGTATGCCAGAAGTACAAAATGGATGGACAAGACACATGATGTGGCGTTTCAAACGCATGAATGGTGGGAGGCGAATGTGAACAAGAATCCATTGCAATGGGACTTTGGGCGGCTTCTTATGAGCTCAGAGAGCAAAAAACGTGAGCACGACGGGCAGCAAGGCTGTCATCATCGAGCTGGGTAATGATATGCTGGACGACTCCTCTTCAGGAACCGCAGACGGAAGCAGAGCGTTTGCTGAGGGCGGTGAACCCGAGGGCAGTGGTGAATTCGATGCAGCTGGTGCGTTCCATTGAGACCGAGGATATGACGGGAGGCCAGAGTTCGAGGATGGCGATGAGTTCAAAGATAGAGGTGAATTTGAAGGCATTAATGAGTCGTAGGACGTCGACGAATGTGGGGATGGCGACTCACCCGGAGAAGAAGATGCGTCTGAGAGCACAGGAGCAGGTGCTACAGTTGTAAATCCAGTGATGGATATAGTAGCAGGGCCTGGCTCATCTCCATCTTCAATCTCAGTGTAACTGCAAGTTTAAAACAGCCGATGGCATCAGCAAAATAGAGGAGAGAGAGGATGTACTGAACGCACATAAATGCATCAAATACACCATAACCTTCCTTTCCGCCCATCGTGACTCTTACGGTATGTTCTGTGCGTTCCAGCATGATCGCACTCGCCAAAATCTTGGACTGTCCGAACTCCTTGTCCGTTGTCTTTGTTTCGTAATCCTCCAAGTTGACCACCACAGGCGAGTCCTTGACGTTGTCCAGTATTAACGCTGTTGAGGCAACAGCCGGGAAACGGGGAGATGCGAAATGAATACCAATTCCTGATCATATGTTTGAACGTCAGAGCCAGGTGTAGCACGCTCGAGCAAAAACGTACCGGTGAACTTGAACTCGGCATAAGCCTCAGGGTCGGTTGTGGTCCTGTAGGAGCCTCCTACAGGACTTGAAAAGCCTGGAGGGACAGTTGTCCAGGTCCCGACCCAAGTTATAGAGGGGTCGGTGTCGTCCAGCGTCACATTTCGTAAAGCCCAGGACGAGTGGCAGAGGCTCAAAAGAGACAGGGTCAGGAGACGTGTATACAAGACAGAAGCATAGTGTTCGGTTGTTAGTTCGTGCCAGACGATAGAGTCTCCGTGTGTACTTGCTTGCTCCTGGGGCACTAGGCGTGAAGGGCTGGGACTAGTGGGGAGATGGTGGAAGGCAAGACGAACGAAAGAACGCTGTCGCTTGGATGAACGATCAAAGGCCTACGGAACGCGCCGAGATGAAGAAACAAGGTCAACCTCTGACGTTGTTGTAGGTAAGTGTGGGCGAGCGTAATAATGGATCCTGTCAGGGTGGAAAGGAGGATTGTTCCATGTGTGGTTGAACCAGCTGACGGAGGCAAAAGGCTTCGCTCGACCAGCGTCAAGGCGGCAGAATTCCATGGAGGTACATCGACTTTGAACGAGACCTTGGCGGTAGTCTGAGCATACACGGAGGTTGAACGCGAACTTCTTGAACGCCGACGATCCCTGGAAATAGCATCGCCCAATTCCCACGGCAGGCACCTTGTGCCGAACAGGAACTGGAGAGCACGATGTTGAGGACCTGCTAGTGGGAATCCCAATGGAATCCACTGTTTGCAATGACCACACAGTACATCTCTGTTTGTGACTTTATGAGAGTAGAACAAGGGTGGATGCAGGGTTCGCATGTTCTGAGCTCTTGAATCAGAATGACCTCCGTCATCAAACAGCCAATAAAATGCCTGTAAAGCATAGCTGGGTGAATGACAGATATCATGGGGTTCGAGGTCGGCTAAGTATGTAGAAACCCAAGCTTGTACAATGACAGGCGTCATGGGGGGCCGCGGGCAGGATTGAGCTATCTTAACAAGCACTTGGAACTGAGGCAGGAGCCTTTGCGGGCGTGTTTCATTCGTGGCATTGCATTAGAATCACGAGCAGTGATAGTGATAGTAGCAAGAAGATGTCGCAATAAGAGAGAGCAGTGTAAAACACCATCCACTATATCACCTCTGCACAAAAATTATCAAGTAGCCACCACGTCTACAGGAGAACCTCAGAAGCGCCCACATCCTGGCTGCTCGTTGACCCCACGACCGGGAAAGACGCCAGCAGTCAAAGGTGTGGAAAGGCCGGACAGGTGATTAGGTGCATCGTTTGGTGGGATAAATCCCATGTTACCATCCTCGTACATGGGCATGCTCATGTCCAGGCTGCCCTGGCCGAGTCCCGCCTGAAAGAAGCCAAAGTCCAAATGTGACATGTCTACGTGTTGCTGTTGCTGCTGTTGGAGTCCAAAGGGGTCGATGGACCCAAACGATGTGTCGAAAGCCAAAGGTCCGACAAACGGCACATCGGAGAGCTGCTGCCCACCCAGCATTGCAAAGTACTGAGCTGTGTCAAAATTGATCGGGGCGGGGTTTGTCCACATATCGTTGACTGGCGAGGGCGCAAACGAAGTGCTTGGTTCGTCAACGGCAAAGGCAGAAGCTGATGTCAGTGGTGTTCGTACATTGAGAGTGGAATATGGGAGCGAGGGTCGCATAGGCATTTCATGGTTGAAAGTAGGGTTCGAAGAATCTGGCATAGGATTGGTGAGGTACGAAGTAGTACCGCTCTCCACGGCCACCATCTCAACGTGTTGGGTGCTGGGGTGTTCTTGACCAGGGGTGGCCGCAGGATGGCCAGCCATGGGCGGTGTCGATACCAATGGCTGCGAATCAGTCGAAGCGGGCGCAGGAGAAGTACTCGCGGTCTGTTGTTGCTGACGAGTCATGTTCGGCTCTGGTGATGAAGTGTTGTGATATAAAGGTTGAGGCCACCATCCTTAGGAGATTTATTACCGTCCTGGGAACCAGAGGCCTTTCTTTTTTCCGCAATGGGCTTCAGCCTATCTTCGAGCAGACTCCTCAGCATGGACTCGACCCTGGCTGCCATCTCCCACGACTTGCCCATCTCTCCCAGGTACTGAACGCAGAGCTCGAGCGAGTCGATGGAGTGTTTCAATTCCTTGTGCGCCACGCGTAATCCCGTGGCGGCCTGGACGCCTGATAACAGGAAGATCGTTCCTGCCCCAAAGATAGGATTGAAGACGTTCAGGGTGGTGTTACGTAGACCGTATAGGTCACGCCAGATCCTGATGAGGTCCATTATATTCTCTGTGGCTCGCTTGCACAGCTAAAACTAAAAGTCAGGATGAGACGATCCTACGAGCAAACACGGCGGCTCACCTTGACATGATCAATCTCCTTGTTCGAACTATGAATGAACGTCGGCTTCCGATGGAAATAGGGGCGATGAAGAATCACGAAAAGCCACCAATAAGTCATGTGAAGCATGAGCTGGTGCGGTGTCGCAGCGAGCCGGGTACTAGGGGTGAGGTCGACTTCAGGCGGCAGTGAGTCTTTCCAACCGGCAAGCTGAACGCTGAAAAGGAGCCAATAAGCAAAGCTTGCCAGCATAGAGAACAGGAAGGGAACACACTCGATGTCACTGATCATCTCGTATACCACAAATCCTCGGATCTGTGTCGTCGAAATACCGTTGCTGACCGGCATGAGAGCAAGAACGACAAAGCGTACGCAGCGAACACTCACACAACACTCATGATGCGCCGTGCAATGACAAGGAGTTCACAGGTGGACGCGAACGTCTTGGAGAGATACCCAGGACGAGGAGGGATCCCAGAAGCCGGATGGTCAAATGGTATCTGGTCGTACTCCGTATCAACATAGGGCACCGGCATGTCCTTGAAATCGTTCTCGGTAGGGGCTCGCACGGAAAAGTCTCTGCCGACGTATAACGACCAGTTGACGTCCTGAGCGAATATCGTCCAGAACGTGCCGTATCGGTCCTGTACATCCTCTTCTTCGATAAGTCCCATCTTGGTCCACTCTGAGCAATCGACGTCTAAACCCACTAGCCAAGTACGTAAGCAAGAGTCATCGATTCGAACCACCTGATATCGACTCACAGGCTTGGGATATTCTCGCTGCCATACCAAAATACACGAAACCCAGGGTCTGGTCTCCACTCGATGAAAAGAACGTTCCAAGCATTGAGACTGCGTGAACCGTTGACAGGTTTGGCTGGGAGCACTCCAAGTCGCAATATGACTTGGCTTCGTTGCCAAAGTGCCTCCTAAATTCTAAACTTCGGAAGGGCTCATCAAGGAGAGCAAGGCCGACCGCCAACAGAGCGTTATGAAGCATGGGTGAGTAGTGGGCTGTCTTGGGCGGCATGCTGGACTTTGGAACACTGAGCGTCCGGTACATGTCGCGAAGGAAAAGGCTCGGAATAATCCTGAGGCAGAACGATGTGCAAAATTTGAAGACCAGATCAAGGGCACTGTTGTAGGAGCAAAATCAGTACGAGGACGAAGACGAGATGTAGGGACTAACGTGTCGTGCTGCACTCTGGTCAAGCTTGCTTCTTTAGGGAGATAGCGAGCCCATTCTACAGAATCTTCACTGCTTTTGACTGAGGAAGCACTCGAAAGCAAAACGTGAGCTGCCTCTGGACCTCCAGCACGGGGCTTGACCCTGGACGGCGGGGACTTGCTGGTAATGGCAGGTTTAAACCTCATGATGAGGTACTCCCAAAAGTCATCAGCGAGCCGCGTTCCAACTACGAAACACTCAGC